AAGCAGGAGATAGATAATCCACAGCACTGAACAAAACTTCTCCATCAAATAGATGGTGTCACAAGCAATACGTTAATCTAGAGCAATGAGAAGGGGCCACCCGAGCTGCTAACCACAAAGTCAGCAGTTTGAACCCACCAGCTGCTCCGTGGGAGCAGGGCGTGGCTCTCTGCTCCCGCAGAGCTGTGCAGCCTCTGAGATCCATACGGGCAGCTCCGCGCTGTCTCATGGGGTCGCGATGAGTCAGAATCGACGTGATGACTGAGTTTGCAGTTGGTTTATGGCAAGGAGCGTGTGTCTCTACAGAACCCTGCCTTTAGAAAACACTCTATACAGCAGAACCCTTCTGTAAGGGGATGTCCAGTTGCCTACAGATGAGCTTTGGGTCCCCACCCCGCACTCCCCCTCATTCACAATGGTAAGATTTTTTGTTCCTTGATGCCTGATACCTGATCCCTTCACCACCTCGTGATCACACAGGCTGCTGTGCTAATAATGCTCTTTTTAAAAGGTCTCAAAATAATGTTCTTTTAAAAAATTCGTTTGTTGGGCTTTATGTACTTGAGAGGAAGAAAGTGGTTTTGCCATTCATACAATGTATTGGGGACTTCCACGTTTCCCTAAAAAGTGTACTTCAACAGCAGCCAACACCTTCCGTCTTCATGTGTGTGAGCAGGAGACACGGACTGGTTGTGATTCGACATCGTGGGAACGGTCTTCGCTTGACAACAGTTACGTGTGCGAGGATGGTGAGAAGAACTCATGAACTGGAATGGGATCAACTATGCATTATGTTCCTTCAATATTTCAAGGACAAATAAAAATCCTTTCTTCACAAACCATACTTCTGTTCTAAAATTGATTGTGGTGATGACTGTACATCTCTTTTGAACGTGGACACTGAATTACATGAAATGCAAACTATGCCAATTAAGCTGTGTAGAAACACTTGTAGAACGGCATTCTCAGGAAGCAGCCACTCTGAGAGGTAAGGTGCTGACCGATTCTTAGTTCAGGAAGCAGCCACTCTGAGAGGTAAGTGCTGACCGATTCTTAGTTCTGTTTATTCCAGAAGCAGGAGGGAGTGAACTCTCGACATTCTGACTGAGATCTACACAGCTATCGCAAAGGGTCAATACATAATGAAATCCAGGCAGAGAAAGCGAAGGTATGCAGGTGAGGCACAGAAAAGACAAAGAGAATTCACGAAACAGGGCAGGGTGGTGGCTGAATTATCAGAGACAACTCTCAGTCTTATTGTGTCTTACACAACGGTAATTTCACACAAAGACACAGGGGGCTTAAAAAAGTTCATGGAAAAACAGAATTGATAGTATTTGTGGAATCCAGGGTGTTGGGGGTGTCCACAGCGGCACTACGGATTACGTATCAGGCTGCTAACCATTTAAAGTCGGCAGTTCAAACCCACCAGCCTCTATGAGAGAAAGCCAGGGCTGCCTGCTCCAGTAAAGCTTTCCGTCTTGGAAACTCCATAGGGCCACTTTGAGTTAGTCAACGATACAGCAGCTGGTTTATATACCACTGCCATCAGTCGATGCCGACTCACGCGATTCTATAGGACAGGGCAAAACTGCTCCTGTGAGATCTGAGACTAAATCTTGACGGGAGTCGCAAGCCTTGTCTTTCTCCCAAGGAGTGGCTGGTGGTTTCAAACTGCTAGCCTTGCAGTTAGCAGCACAACGTGTAACCACTTCACTATCAGGGCTCCTGGGTTTAAATATACAGTAATGTGGTTTTTTTTTTAATCCCTTCCTCAAATTGTCTTGCAAGTGACTGTTTCTTGAAACAGGTTCATGGTATCCTTAATTTTTAAAAAGAATGCTGGGGAAAGACTCATATACCTCACCTCTCCCCAGGTGCAGGAATGAAGTCTCTGGAGGCAAAACACAGCAGCCTCCAACAGAGAGAACCAACCAAATTTTGCTTTGTGTCTGTTCAACAGGGCAAGTCTAAGCGATCACAACTTGAATTTCAGAGCACGATCAAATGTTCTCGTCAGGACACTGCTAAGTTCCTTTAAAAGGACAAACAGGAGCATTTGGCAAGCTATAAATAGGAAGCATTTGGCCCGAGAGCCATCTCAGCCTTTTAGAGCCTCATAGGCTGCTCCTTGTAAGCCAGGTGCAACACACACCACACAGGTGAACGCGCGCATGCAGGCAGCACGCCCCCAGCAGCCGAGGAAAGCAAATGGGAGGTTGTCATTCCTAGTCCACAAGCTGTGTGCACAAAAATCACACCACAAGGTCCCCCAAAAGCCACAGCAAGATCACTTGCACCCTCCTTTCAGTACCCACACTGCCTTCCTCGCTCTTTGTAAGCAAGTCTCAAACACAACCAATTCACAAACTGTGAGTGGAGTTCTTCCCCAAAGCCGTGGTTTGGGTTCTGCTTTCCCTGGGAGAACGCTTCCTGAGCTCCCCTGATGGCTCATGATACCTGTAACAGAGCCTAGCATTAGGGTGTCCACCCGCACCCCTAGGTGGGGGCAGAGAAATCTCTCTGGAAGCCTCCCAGGTCCCTGCCAAGCCTCGGGCCCCCAGCACTCCTGAAAAACACCCACCAAGCCACACAGCCTGTTTTTACCAGCAAATGAGGAGGAAGGAGAGGTGGCAAACAGTGAGTCTCTCTCTC